CAGGAAAAGCTACATTGCAGCCACTTTATTCTCTCAGTTAAAACAAAGTGATTGAAACCCATTCTACTAAAGTACTGGTTGTAACTGGAGAGGCTTTTTTCATAAAAAGACATAAAACCAACCCATATTGTGAATAAAGATACAAAGGACCATGGCATTATTCCACAAGCATCTTGGAATTCCACAGGCATCTGGCTAAACTCCAGTCTGGCTAAAAATATTTGTACACCTACACATTTCTCCATAGATTGATGATGTTTCTTCTACTCCAAAAATCTCCTAACACTAAGTGGTGTATTTTTTCTGGAACATCAATGCTACTGTGTTTCAGTGGTGGCTAAGAATCTTATATTCCAAGGACAGAGAAATCCAAGACCTCTTCAAGTCAACAGGAACTTACCAAGGCCAAGGATTCAGCCATAATGAGTAAATCATAACTGAACACCTTAGGATGAAAAAAACATTCTAAAAATGTAAGCTTACTATTATAAGAACATATACTAGAATTACCAGACTGTATTTATTTTTGCAGCTAAATACAAAACCCAGATATTTAAAATACTGTTTTACAGTATTTTAGCATTCATATTTTATAAGCAAAACTTTAAACAAAAGAGATGGCTATATCAGAGTATAAATCTCAAAGAAACTAGCTTGAATATTTAGCTTTGCTGAGTTTTTTATTATTTTCTGCTTTGTTTTAAAAAAGCTTCAGTCTGAGGTTTCAACACAAGATGGCACTCTAAAGAGACTTCTTCACTGAAAGAAAAATTATTAATACAGTGAGGGTTTTTATCACATTATTGAATATATTCTGAGATTTTTTTTGTGCTGTATCACTGTCTTACAGCACAAATGCTGATGCTATTTTACCAATGGTTTTAGTATTTGTAAATGAGGAATTCAGGAATGCATAGACAGTAAAATAGACATTAGCCACACATCTTAAATTACACTATGTAAATGTTGAATATGATTACAGAATTACAGAATGGTTGGGACTGAATGGGATCTCTGGAGGTCATGTGGTCCAACACCCCTGCTCAAGCAGGCTCTCCTGGAGCCAGTTGCCGAGGACCATGTCCAGATGGCTTTTGAATGCCTCCATGGATGTAGACTCTACAGCCTCTCTGCACAACTTGCTCCCATGCTCAGTCACCTTCAGAAAAGGTGAAAAAGGTAGAAAAGTGTTTTCTGATGTTCCAATGGAACCTCCTGTGTTTCAGTTTGTGCTCATTGCCTCTTGTCCTGTCACTGGGCACCACTGGAAAGAGCCTGGCTCTGTCATCTTTGCACTCTCCCTTCAGGTATTTATAGACCTTAATAAGATCCCACCTAAGCCTTCTCTTCTCCACGCCACACAGTCTCAGCTCTCTCAGCCTTTCCTCTTATGTAAGATGCTACAGTCCCTTAATCATCTTAGTGGCTCTTCGCTGGACACTCTCCAGTAACTCCATCTCTCCCTGGACACAGTACTCCAGGTGTGGTCTCACCAGTGCTGGGTAGAGAGGAAGGATCACTTCTCTCCACCTGCTGGCAATTCCATTGTTTAATGCAGCCCAGGATACCCTTAACCTTTCTTACGTAAGAGCACACTGCTGGCTCATGTTCAGCTTGGTGTCCAAGTCCTTTTCTGCCAATCTGCTTTCTAGCTGTGTAGCCCCCAGCATATATTGGTGCCTGGGGTTGTTCCTCCCTAAGTGCAGGACTCTGCTCTTCTCCTTGTGGAACTGCCTAAGACTCCTGTCAGCCCATTTCTCCAGCCTGTTAAAGTCCCTCTGATTGGTACTCCATTGCTCTGGAGTATCACCCACTTCTCCCAGTTTTGTATCATCTGCAAACTCACTAAGGGTATACTCTGCTCCAACATCCAGATGATTAATGAAATTAATGAATTAAACAGGACTGGACACAGTACTGACCCCCTGGGGGACACAGATAGTTACTGACCTCTGACTAGATTTTGTGCCACTGACCATCACTCTCTGGGCCTGTCCATTCAGCAAGTTTTCAGTCTTCCTCACTATCTACTCATCCAACCCATGCATCAACAGCTTGTCTATGAGGATCTTATGAGAGACAGTGTCAAAAGCCTTAGTGAAGTCCAGGCAGACAATATCCACTGCTTTCCCCTCATCTGCCAGACCAGTCACTTCATCATCAAAGTTTATCAAGTTGGTCAAGCATGACTCCCCATTGGTGAAGCCATGCTGACTACTCCTGCTGATTTTCTTGTCCTTAATGTGCCTAGAAATGGTTTCCAGGCTTAGCTGCTCCATCACCTTGCCAGGGATCGAGCTGAGGGTGACCAGTCTGTAGTTGTCTGGGTCTTCCCCTTCTTGAAGAGAGGAGCGACATTTGCTTTCCTCCAGTCTTTGAATATGATAATACATTATAATATATTTTAATCATACTTTTTAAAAGCAGATCCTTGAATATCATAACCACTTTTGTTAATGACTCATGATCTCCTTATATTTAAATGTTTGTAATAAAAGTACATACTGAATTCCTATTAGAGCAACAAAACTGTTTTATCATTAAAATGCAACTTAGTCTTTCCCTGGAATATTATTATCAGCTCTAGAATAACAGGAAAAATTTCATGTGGTATTAAAAAAAAAATTAATAGCCTTCTAATATAGAACATGACAGAAATTAGGATAATCTATTTTACTATTTTAATAACACATATGTGAACGATATACCAGCTGTTTGAAAATGTCAGAAAAAAGGCATTCCAAAATATGTTTTTGAAACAATTCAAATCTAGCCATTAATTACAAACAAATAACAGTCTATGCCTCACTCACCTAAACAACTCTGTTGAGAACAAATTCAAAGACAGTAACACAAGGCTAGAGATTCAAATGAGCAGACTTTTATTGTTTTCAGTAGGTCTAATAGGTCTGCCTTCTTCATCTCTCCTCAGCACAAAACCTATGTCTGACCTTGTACTTCCCACTGTTTTTCAAAGCTGAACAAAGAGCTACTTCTGAAGAGACTGATGACAGAGCTCCTGAGAGCTGTGCAGCACAGGTTGCCTTGCAGGAGGATGCACTGTGATTCTTTACATGGGATAAAGGAGCTGTTTGGATGTAAACAGTGTAATCCCAACCCTCACTAATGATTTCAAAGCTGTTCATTAATCCTTCTATGAAGAGTGTAATATGAAGGATTCAGATCACTATTAGGAATAATCGTGCAAAATAGTATGGTCTATGTTATGCAAGAGGTTAAGTAGTAGTTTTGAATTCTTAGGATCCATGTATTCATAGCATTTTCCCTGTGCTTTGCAGAAAGACTGCAAATCATGCCATGCAGTGACTTCAGGGAATTTGCAGTTTTCAATGGCATTCTAGATAAGTGTGTATCTCTTCACATCCAATTTAACTTTTATAACTTTGGGTGCACTGTAAATAATCATTAGATCTCACTGTGGTCTTGAAATAAATACTAAAGAGACATGCTACCATGGGAAATTACATTCACCCTCATCTCACATAGGAAAAGTGTGAATACCTACAGGAAAGCATTGCCTACTTCATTTTTTTTTTTTTTAAAGGGGATGGAACAAAACAATGGACAACAGACCTTTCCAAAGAAGAGTGTTACAGCTTTATGATGCTTTATAGTAGTTTCTAAGACTCCTTCTTCCATTCCAGAGAATCTTTGTCCTTCTCCTTCACAGTAATACAGCTGCGGTTCCTTGTGAAAGCATTAGGTTTTTGAGTGTTTTAAAGTTACCCCATCTACATAATGTGTTTTTATCTACACATGCACTTGTGGAGTACACACAGGAACTGTGCCTGTAATCCTGGTCTTCTGTATTTCAGGGAACTTTTGGAGCTCAAAAGAAAGCCGTTTGTTCTGAAAGATCCATACTTTGTTCCACAAAGAAATTCTCAAGAGAAATCTAATAATTTTGCCCTTATTAATCTTTAGCAAGTCTCTCAGGTAGCCTCTTTATTTATCCTCAATAAGTGATTAAGATAGTGTAACAATGTCCAAAGATTCCTGTATACAACAGGATCCCTGATCCAGGAGGGAACATTTGCATGATTAGATTAGTACTGTGGCTCTGGAGCAAGACAGGTGATCATCGTAAGAACATAAAGACAAATGTATGCAATTCTGTTATGCAGCTGTTCTGCAGCAGGTATGTTCCATACAATGGTATGTCTGCCATGGAGATCTAGTATTTAAATTAAGCTATACAAAAGACATATCCTGTTGTCATCAAGTTGCTCTTATCTTATGAAAAAGAAGATGTCAAGATTTTAAGAAAGCAAAATTGAAAGAGATATTAAAAACAGAACACCCTCTAGAAAAACTGATCTAGGAAAAATAAACACAGTACAGAGAAGAAAGCTTGTGCTGAGAGAGACTGATTTAAAGATACTTTATAACTAAAATAAAAACATAGCCTGTAGAGCAAATCTGCAGGAAGGAAAAACTTTATCTCTCAGTTTCACTTGGTATCTTCAGCTGTCCTGAGGATGAGACATCTGAATTATGCAAGTCATTAATAACCAGCACAAAAAATTACACACAGGCATGAGAGTTTACTGTATTAAAATAATGTAATTATTGCATGATGACAATTGCTGAATTTTTAAACTTCATTTCAAGACAATTAATTAAACTACACTATAGTTCAGGAAAGGTGTTAGGCTGACATACTGGAGGATTACAGAATCAAATTCCTTACTGGTTTCTTTGCAATTTCATAAAACTTCATTATATACCAGAAAATCAAGACTAAATAAATTTAAAAATAATTTCTAATGCAATAACTTTGCTATGCTTTTATAAATTCATATGCCTTCTTTATTGTTGAAAAAAAGGTACAAAAGGTAGAAGGGAAACTCATCATTAAGGTTGCACACACATAGACATGACCCCGTGTGCATCTGTGTGGAGGAACTATTCTTCAGAAGAAGAGATTGGTGAACCATTCAGAGCTATTTAGTCTGTGGCATTTCTTGTGACACGACCAACTACAGAGTCCATTTAACCAGAGTTTGAGATATGGACAACTGTAGGAAATGGGATCTTGACACAGATTCTAAAAATATAAGCAGACCGTAGGAGGGTTTTGATCATTATGAAACCTGGCAAAGTTACTGTGGTATCAAAAGTATTAGCACTCTAAAGCTATTTATGAAGGCCACAGATACTGCATATGGGATCCATTAAGTGACATAAGGCCAGATTGCGTGTAGCCTTGCCTTAAATGAAAACCTTCTGCATTCTGCTTAGTAAAGTATAGTATTTCTGAGATCCGTTGTTGCAGCAGTATTAAACATAAAGTGCTCTTTCAGTTGGATCATTCTTTATTCTCTTTATATATACACACACGCACATATAGTGATAGTTTAACTTAGCTGGCAGCCATATATGTATATATAGACATATATATATATAGAGAGAGAGAGACACATACACACATATATATATATAAATACATAATGTATGTGTATGTGTGCAGCTGAGGAGTGTTAATAAACCTTACAACTGACTACTTTAGGCTGCCTCTGCCAGAGCTCTCAGTAGAGTGAAACATAAATTCCCTTAAGACCCTTTGGCAAGCTCATGCTCGATTCAAACTGAGATCCTTTCTCACCTTCTACAGAACTGCAAACTCATTAATGGCTCTATATTGCTTATTGAGTCATTTGAGCATACACAGTGCATGCTAGATTTCTTCCCACTATGTCCTTCTCCCTGGGTTATATAAGGACATCCTTTCATTTTTGCAAAGCTTGGTAGGTTTTGCTGCTTGCAAAGGCACTGATGAATATATGTTCAGTGGCAAACATGTTTGCACTTTCCTCTGTTTTGCAGTGCTGAAAAACTCTCAAAGAGATAGCTAAAGTAACCCCCCTTTAAGCTAAAGATAGAGAAAAGTAATTCTGAGGGATTTTAATCTCTGAAGTGGGAAAGCAAGAAGGATTAAGATTTTTCTGTTTAGAACAGATGACTTTCCATTCTGTTTTCTTTTACCAGTTCATCATGTGAAGAGGAATAAATCCTACTGTTTGCTTTGTCTTATGAACAATGGATAAAACCTAATAATTTAAATAATTATATTATCCAAACTTTACTCACTATACTCACTTTGTCTTATCTCGTCCTGTCTCAGGTAATATGCATAGCAGTGCATCCAAAGATGAACAAAAAGGAATTAACTGATGTCTTTTCTACAGGCTTCTAGTCAGGGTTTGGTTGCTGATAAATCTGGCAGAAAACCATGTTTTTAAAGGGTACATATGAACTTGAAGATTTAAAAAAACACCTGATAGGATTTTTGAAAGTACAGAGGTTTAACCATGACTTTAAAAGGTGTTAACTGAATACGTAGATGCTTTTGCAAATCCCATTAGCAGTCTATTTGCATAACCTGCCTGCAGTCAGAATGCCTGACTGTGGTGTCACAGGCAATGACACTGAGGATGACTTCTGCTACTGTGTAAGCAATAACCTTCTTGAATTTAGTCCTTTGGAACTGTCATAGATGATGTCTGCTTCAACTTATGTGTAGTTGCTCACCACATTGTGGAGAAATTGGCAAGTGTCAGACCATTCACAAAATGGTATTAAGCAGTTTTCCATGGCTTTAATCTTTTAAAGTTAGTCAGGTTTCCACAGGATGCAGGACAGGTGAAACAAGAAGGATTCTAAACTGCAAGATGAGTCCTAAAGGTAAGAATTTTATTCTTGTAATAGACTCTCTCATAAAGCTGCCCTGATCCAGTAGCCCCAGCAGAGCCTGTTTCTCATGACCAATCTTATTCTTTTTCACTGTATGCATTCAGCAACGGCACGAGAGGTACAACGTTCAGTGTGCAAAATTCCTGGTTCTCAGTTATACAGGAATGAAAGGAAGGAAGAGCTGCCTAACTGGCCAGATTTTGGGCATACTGGACCACAACAGTGCCCCTGGCCTAGGTCGATGCTAGATCAGACACTTCACAGAGCACCTCCTTCTACTGCCTTTTTTATCATATTATGGAGGATGGCTCATTCCAGTGGTCCATGAGCAAAAGAGGGTCAGAAGAACTTCACAGCCTTGTGGCATTAACACCTTCGTATCTGAATAACCTGGTAATGGCTTGATAAGAGTTCGAGGACCCGGCTCTTTAAAAAGAATGCCAGAGGATGGGGAAAGCACTCTAATGCATTTTCTCTGTCTTATCCAGTTGTGACTACTGTAGCACAATAATGTTCAGTGAAATATATCCCTTCTTTATGTTTCTTCGATATTATACAAGATTGATTTCCATCTCCCTGTTTGCAATACATTATTTTCAAATTTACAGCAAAATAGAGTTAACATGCATTACAGGTTCACCTCTTAAAAGGATATTAGGATGATATGCATCTGAAATAATTCAACAGTTTTTTAACAGGTTTGTATGGTCCATTGCTATTTAAGGCATTATAAAATAGATTGTTTATCGCAGCAAGCACACCACTTACCCTCAGCATAGGGCCATTCTGAAACACATGGGGTTCATCACAAACTACACAGTATTCATTCAATACTGGTATCCGCTGCTCAGCAAATTCAATAGTCTGAGAACAATGAAAATGAGAATAACAACATCTGCTTAAAAATAATTAACAGTCAGCTCATGCTCCACAGTGCTTCATAAATGGGTAAGATATGACATCCTACCTGCACAAGAAAGCCACGATCTCGTACCGGAATGCATTTTGCACCATAATTTTGCTGCAAGGAAAAAGTTGAGGCAACTTCAGTGTTGGTAGACTAATTATAAGGAAATGGTAAAACTTTTGTATTTTTTGAATGCAAATATGTTAATTAAACAATATTTGCATTTTAAAAGATCTCTCATATACATAAACTAGTCATTATAAGTAATCAATTTTTTTACTGTTTGCTGAGTGTGGGGTAGATTTTTAGCATTTCTTTTTAGTCCTTCAATCTGATAAAGTTTTGTATCTCAGCATCCCAAAAATTTTAATCTCAGATGGAAACACCACTGCCTTCACTCCATTCTAATAAACAGGCATTTGGTAACTTCCATTAAATTTTAACTGCATATTGTCTATCCAAATATGGGCTATCTGCTTAGGCTTGAAAGACTAATGTAACTCTCAGAACAGCTGAAAATCTTTTTCTTATATTTACTAAGATCTTACTTTTGTAAGAACCATGTTAACAGATCTCTGTGCGCAGATTCTGCTCAAATTCTTTACATCATTTTCTTTCAACATAAAGAAACAAAATTTAGAAGGAACTTCTGTTACAGGAGTCAGTAGGTACAAAATTCCTTCTAGGCTGACATCCATCTCAATTAAACCTTGTTTTGAGTAAGAGTTAGATTACCTCCATTTACAGCTTTTTTTGGTTTTGTTTATAGACTTATTTCCTTTCATTTCTTTAACTGCTTAATTGGGAAACTTTTCCATTTTTTCTCCTGGGAAACAATCCTAACTGCATTCATATATGAGAATTACTGTAGCTGAGAACTGAAGAGAACTTAGGGTCCCAATTAACTGCTTCCACATTCCACTGACTTCAAATTGCATTTAGGAACCCAGGCTTCCCATATATCTCATGCCTGCATATAAAATGCAAAATGGACTGTTGAAGCACTTCTGCTAACATCAGTCAAACTGCACCTGATCACATATGCAATGGTTTTCCCTCGAAGTAAATGCATTCCAGCAATAAATTACTGGTAGTTTTTACAGACTGACAAGCAGGGCTTGCATTTCTTCCATATCAACTAACAACATCAGTAATTAAACCACTTAGTCAGCTCTTTATTATCTTATCAAAACCAATGGGACTTTTCCTATTAACTTCAGGAGAGAGAAGTCTGGCTGGTTGAGACATCCTCTGCTGTTTAAAAAAAAAAAAATGTATCTCTAAACTGTAGCAAGTAAAAAGTCTGTTGGCTCACCTTAAATTAATATTGCTGAGTACACTGTAGGAACCAACCACACAGCACGTATATAAATGATTTTATGATAGTATATCACTGCTTTTAGATCTGATGAGTATAGCCTACAGCTTATTAAACTAATTTACCATGAGACATATCACACGCAATGTAATTTCATTATTCAGAATGCACTATTTTGAATATATGTATGGCATTTCAAGCAAGAAACAGCTTGTTCTCACTGAGAACATCAAGGCACCACCAGCCTAAGGGAGCAGAGAGGACTGTCTCCTAAGCATCTCTCCCCAGATCTAACACAGAAGACAATC